TCTTTCCGAATCCACTGCACTGTCCTCAGATTGACACCCAAACGCCCTGAAATATTCGTATTGGAGCTTCCATATATATATATATATATATATATATATATATATATGAAAATTTCTCCGATTTAACCAGTAGAGAAGACAATATTTATGAATAAAAATGACAATAGGAAAACTTTGATAAAGTCCACATTGGACGAAACGCGTCAGCAATTACCACTTTTCCTATTGTCATTTTATTCATATATATATATATATATATATATATATATATTGAACAATAAAAAAAATATTAAAAAATTAAAATCTTCAGATATACTGGGTTGTATATTAATATTCCTTCGTTTAGATTCCTCGACTAGTTTCGGCCAACATGGTCATCATCAGGAGAAACATAATTTTTTGCTTGCTGGTAGCAGTGAACTACAGAAATGAATCTATCTATCTATCTATCTATCTATCTATCTATCTATCTATCTATCTATCTATGTATGTTTGCGTGTGTGCGCATGTGCGTTTGCAAAACTCAAATGCCTTTAGCATCAGGTAATACGAAAAAAAAAAAAAAAAAAAAAAAAAACTTATAAGAACTCCTGCCTATAATAATAAGCTATAATAATGAATACTCTCATATACGGCGTGTAACAGCAAAATTGTCCAAATCAAGTAACAGCATAATTGTCCGCCCCCAGCAAAATGTTTAATATCTATAAAAAAAAAAAAAAAAAAAACAACAACAAAAAAAAAAAAAAAAAAACAAACAAAAAACACTACGCTATTTGAGTTTTTCCCCACCAGGTTTTCATATATATTGGTAACTTAATGTTATTTTTAGTAGACACTCGTATTTGAGTAGACACTCCATTTATTTATTAAACAGTATGTTTATTTATTTTCATCTACCAGCCTGAATATTTGAGAAATCTTATTAGAAAAAAATGTGCGCTCTTCCTTAGGGGAGATCTCTCGGCTCCGGAGTGCTTCGATGGCCAACATCAATCTGAATAGTGCCTTTAAACGCAAATCTTTCTCCGACTCTCGAAATAAACATTTCTGCTCAGTTTCATGTCCTAACGTAAACAAAAAAAATTCTAAAGAACAGAATGGTTATTTTATTTATTAATACGACAGATTTTGATTTCTTAAACGTTATTTTTAATGGATACTCGTATTTGAGTAGACGTTCCATTTATTTATTAAGCAGTATGTTTATTTATTTTAGTCTACCGGCCTGAATATTCGAAAACTCATGAGAAACACAGGTTCAAATTCTGCATATTTTTCTTATAAGAATTCTCGAGTCCAGTAGGTGAAAATAAATAAACATACTCTTCTAAAAATAACGCTTAAGTAATAAATGTTTCCTGTTTATGATTGTGTTTCAGGTTCTTTCCGGTTCTTTCTTCACTTTCACTTCCGGTGGCCCATTTGCGTCGTGGTGGAATTATCTCCTTGTTTGGGGTAGCACCCCTTACTTTGCATCCCATCTAAAACAATAAAAAACTTAATCAATACAAAACAATGAGCTAAAGCTTGAAGGAGAAATATACTCTATTACTGTAATGATTGCGACAAAGAATACCTCGGAGAAACCTCAAGAAATTTAAATAAAAGATTATATATAAACACAATAGGGATACTTTAGAAACAGCACATTAAACGCATTAGTTGCTCACTGAAACAAAACTGACCACAATTTTGATATAAAAATGCTAGTCTAATTAAAAGAGAAAACAATTTACGAAGACGAAAATGCTTAGAAAGTGCTTTAATCGCAAGATTGTCCACAATAAATTTGCGTCCAGATTCTTACAACGTTTCACCATTCTTGGCAGATCTTCTATTATCACAATGTGGGATATTTAATAACAAAAATGATGGAAACAAAAGGAGACACAAAAAGAATCTGAATGAAATCGGCTAGATTATACACTCAAAACACACACACACACACACACACACACACACACACACACACACACACACACACACACACACACACACATATATATATTTTAAAATTCCCAGAATAATTAGTCACATCAACGAAAATGAAAACATTATTCCGATGGAGCAGACACGGCATGTCTTGACTTTTGTAACTTGATGTGAGTTATTGGGGTGGGGGTGGTGGGGATGGAGGAATGAAAAGCTCCAAATTACGCCTAATAAATGCTAAGGAAAAGAAGTCGACTGTAAAAAAGATCTTCAAATTGTGAGCATCGATGCTAAAGCATTACTGGAAAAATGTGAATTCTTCAGAAGAAAGTCTACAAATTCTTACTAGTTTCAATTTTGTCTTTCAATGCAACATTTAGTTTTTAATTTCGAGTCCGGAATTAGCAAAAACAAATCAGGTAGGTAAGAATAACTGACTCCAACGATGGGTCGAGGCTGAAATAATTACATATAGATAATAATTAGATATAAATAATAATTAGATATTTACCAGCAGCGATTAATTTTTAACACTCGAATAATTGTGTACTTTCTACAAGTGCTTACTGGCTGAAGTAATAGTATATTTCCCACCAGTGCTTGCTAGCTGAAGTAATTGTATATTTCCCCCCAGTGCTTACTGGCTGAAGTAATTGTATATTTCCCCCTAGTGCTTACTGGCTGAAGTAATTGTATATGTCTCACCAGTGCTTGTTGGCTGAAGTAATTGTATATGTCTCAGCTTACTGGCTGAAGTAATTGTATATCCCCCCCAGTGCTTACTGGCTGAAGTAATAGTATATTTCCCGCCAATGCTTACTGGCTGAAGTAATAGTATATTTCCCACCAGTGCTTGTTGGCTGAAGTAATTGTATATTTTCCACCATCTCTGCGCTGGCTGAAGTAATTGTATATTTTTCACCATTTCTTGCTGGTTAAAGTAATTGTATGTTTACCACCTGTGGGTTGAGGCTGAAATTGCTAACATAGCCTTGAGGCTGAAATAGTTGTGTATTCCTCAAAAGTGCCAATGGCAAGGTAAAAATAAAAGCCAAGTATTCATGTAGGCCCTTTCTAATACTCTCCCACATATTCTTCCTTTCGATTATTTAGCCTTGTTTCAAACGCAGAGAGAAAGACTGTATGCCCAAATCTTGCATATCTTACGTAACATTAGTTGAATATAGGACTTACTATCAATTGCCCGTGATACCAGCTCGCTAATTACTGCTTAAAGATAAGACGTCTGCATGAAGAGACAGATTAATTGAATGATCGATAAATGCAATGATTGATCGATAAACAGCTCGACGCGAGAAATCCGAAATAATAGAATATAAATGAAGTAAGCTACTGAAATAAAGTATATTTGTATGCAAACAGAAAAATTTATGTCGTGAAGTGATGGACATGATGAGAGAGACAAAAACAAAAAGAAACAGAGGTAGAAAATATTACAGATTGAGACAAATATCCATTATGGAAATGCTATTTGATTACAATTGTAAAGAGAATTTGCTTTCCTCAATCCATCAATTGGGGGAGGGAATAACTGATTTGATTACACGATCAAATTAATATTAGATATTTATACTACCTAATATGGATGATTTATATAGATTTAGAATTCGTGCTGCCAAAAATTTCTATAATTTTATTTTATGCATTAATCTAGGATTTTTAACTATAAAATTAATTCTATTGTCGCATTTAATAAAAAATTAAGCTTTTTAATGACCATTAAAAATAAAAAATATCCCCCAAAAACTAACACAAGACTTTTACAAATTGGATATTTCGTTACTATGGTAAAACGAACCATGTTTGTATCTTGACATCGCGTAGTACCACCTGCTACCATAATAGAATATTATTAAGCCAATAATGCCCAAAATGGGACGGAGGAATTAGTTATAGGTAGAAACCGCCAGTTAATGTCGGATTTTAATCAACTTATAATTAATGCCAATTTTTTTCATAAGTCTATAATATTAGACTTTTTTTTAAAAATTAAGACTGGATTTAAAAAAAATATCTGCAATTAATACCGTTTGTTTTTTTTGTTTTTTTTATTTCATAAAATAAGAATTAATAACAGATTTTTATAAACCTATAGTTAACACTGGAATGTTTTTAATAAGACTAATGTAGATTTTTCTATAAGCCAATTTTTAGCACTGACATTTTATAAACCCATAATTAATAACAGTTTTTATTTTATAAACCGGATTAAAAAAATCCCCCAAAATACAAAAGCCCCCCCAAAAAAAAAAACTATAATTAATACCGGACCTTTTTCACTACTATTATTAATAACGGATTTTTATAAAACTATAAACTATAATTAATACTGGATTTTATAAACCTATAACTAACACCAGATTTTTGTAAACCTATAATTAATACCAGATTTTTAAATTTTTATTTTTTATATTAATAACGGAAATTACAGTGTCAAGAAAGGGTATCGAGATGTGTGACTGATAAATATGTATTCTATTCTAATATTAAATTCTTTTATTAAATGTTATAGAATAGATTATTATATTGGCTATAGAGATGCGTACTATCTATCAAAGCTCACCTAAACCTGATACATGCCCAAATAAGATTATAGGAAGACTGTGATGCGATGTTTTAAGTGATGTGACTTGATTGCCTTGAAAATTAGTATGTAAAATTTTGGTTTTGACTTGGGCATCATCAAGAATCTGATCAAATATACGATCATATATTTGATCAAATATAAGATATATTATAGACATTTACAATTTTATACCTCGAAAAATTCCAATGGAAATAGGGGTTGTTTTTTGTTGTTTTTTTTAATTTTACGCCAGATCCATTTGATTATTTGTTTGAGATAAAATTTGGCAAAGAAAATCATTGGTCAACAAAGCAGAATGACCAGTGAAGCTTTTAAATAATTTTTCTGCTGTTAATATTGGCATATCCGTAATTTATGATTAGTGAAGGTTTAGAGTTGATTTTATGTCTAGGATTAGTTTGGGATTAACATAGAGTTTGGGTTATAAATCCCAACCCGTCAAATTAAGAATAGAAATTTATAATGTTTTCATTAGGCAGACATTACAAGTATATGAATGATTCTGTGAAATATCAGAGAGAGAGAGAGAGAGAGAGAGAGAGAGAGAGAGAGAAAGAAGAGAGAGAGAAGAGAGAGAGAGAGATGGGAGAAAAGAGGGAGAGTGGGAGAGGGAGAGATAAGGAGAGAGAGAGAGAGAGAGAAAGCCTGAAAGAGAAAGAAAGTGAGAGAGAAAGAGAGATAGGGTCAGAGAAAAAGAGGGAGGCAGAGAGAAGGACATAGATAGAGATAGAAAGAGAAGAAAATAGAGGGAGAGAGAAAGAGAAAAAAGCAGGAAAGGTAAAGAGAGACAGAGAGACAGAGAAAAAGAAAGAATGAGACGGCACTTTGAAGTGTAATTATCATTTGTGTCTGGTCGTTATATTGGTGAAAGAAAGAAAGAAAGAGAGAAGGAGAGATGGAGAGAGAGAGGGGAGAGAGAGAGGGGAGAGAGAGAGGGGGGAAGATGGAGAGAGAGAGAGGGGAAGATGGAGAGAGAGAGAGGGGGGAGAAAGAGATAAATATATAGAGAGAGATAGGGAAAGAGAGCGAAAGAATGCAAGAGAAAGAAAGTGGGGAGAGAGAGAGAGAAAGAGAGGGAAAGAAAGAGAAAGAGAGCAAGGGAGACAGAAAGAGAAAAGGAAAGATAGAGGAGGAGAAAAGAAAAAAGAAGGAAAGGTGAAGAGAGATAGATAGATAGAGAGAAAGAATGAGACAAGGAGAGTACTTTGAATTGTAATTATCAATTGTGTCTGGTGTATTGGTGACACCGAATATAAAAGAGTCTTGTAGAAGCATGCCGGCACAGGTTTGCAATAAAAAGTTCAAGTGGCCGATATATATATATATATATATATATATATATATATATATATATGTGTGTGTGTGTGTGTGTGTGTGTGTGTGTGAGCGCCCATGTGCGTAATTCACACTCTCCTGTTTCCTTCCTGATTTGCTTTCACCATCTTTCCTGGTTCTTCTGTCTATCTCCCCACCCCACAGCACTTCTCTTCCTCTTCCTCTTACTCACCACTTACACCCGCTTTCATTAATTTCTTCCACCTTTAACCCAATCACTTTTCCCTTCCAAAATCTTTGAACGTCTTAAATTATTTTAAGTCGACTCCACTTTCCGAAATCGAAACAAAGAAACGCAAATAGTCTACCGAACACACATCGTTTAGCAATTACCCTAACCATGTCGTATGAACTTATTTAAAACAAATGTTTGTAAATAACATAAAAAAAGGGGATGTAAATTTACTTAAATGAAATCTTGATATCTATTGTTATCTGCATCCATCGATTTCGAGAGACTATGGATCAGTGCCCGAAGAGTGCGGGCCTGGGAAAGGTTTTTTTAATGAATGATTGGCGGTTGATCACGCAGCACGTTTACCCTCACCACGCCACCGATGTTGTCCAAGGGAACGACAGAGACCGATACAGCTTGGCACCGGCGTCATCACAGGAGTTGCCAGAGCAAAATATGATATCAGACTCAGGATTTGAATTCAGTGTTGTTCTTCTTCCAGTCCGGCTGCCAACCATGCCTACAGAACCAAGACTGCCCTACTATTCACCCATAGCTGTAAGGCGGAGAGACGGACTCATACCCCCTCACAAGGGCACTAACACGTAAGTAAATGCAATCTTTCTTTTTTAATGTATTTTTTTTTTAAAATACCAACTACAATATCATGATTGTTTTTCAGAAAGAGAGTTGTTTGATTTGAAAACTCCTACAAGAGGTAGTGAAGGAAAATGAGAAGAAAGAAACTAAAAATCAATTGCAAGAAGACAGAATGCATGTTTGTTAGCAAAAGGGACAGCCCAACATGCAAATTAAAAATTGAAGATGCCAAAATCAAACAAGTACAAAAATTTAAATATATTGGAAGCGTTTTAACGGAGGATGGAAAGTGTGACACCGAAATCCGAAGACACTTTGGGATAGCGAAAGATGCAATCCAAAAGCTAAGCAAAGTATTAAGAAGAAGGAAAATTTCGCTAGAAATAAAGAAAAGAGAACTGAATTAATATCATTCCTTATTTCTCATGAGATTGTCTAACTTTCACTGAGATTGTTGAGATTTACTTAGTTTAATTAAGTTCGACTCTCAAGGATTAATTGTGGAATAAATAGAAAGATAATATTACGCCAACAATCAAAATATTGGCTTTTTTTCAGAGCTCGATTACCGAACTCTGATATCAATAGAAAATACAACACATTTTAAGCTTCCAAGCATTCTTTTTCTTTTTTATCATTTCCTCCCAAGCAAGGCGATAGTGCCACTAAGACGCAAGGGATTACTGGAAGTGAAAGAGAATGAGAAGACTTCAGTGAGGCGAAAGGACAATAAAAGAACAGGATTCAGGAAGACAGAGATTGCGTTTTTTTTTTTTTTTTTGACGTTCACCCTGTACAAGGTTGATAGAATTGATATTTTATTAATTGCATGGGCCATTATCATCGATCGGATATGTTTCGTATTTTGCTTTCAAAAATTTAGTAGGAAGTTTTTTTTTTTAAGTTTTGTTACAGGATTGGCATGCAAGATTCACCTATTGTTTTGGTTATTTTTTTCCATAGCTGTGGAGTGGATTTCATTCTTGGTGTTGTGTTGTGGTTGAGAGTTGTTCTTTTATCAGAGGGTGTCCTGAAAGCCAGAAGATAATAATTGGCGTTGCATTTAAATTCTTGAAAATTGTAGGTGGTGTGAAGCCAGAAATTAGAAGAACCTATTGTAATAGAACCTGCGGTTTCATCTAGCTCGTGAGATTTAGTTGACAATCTAGTATCACGTTTAAATTGATGCAGTCGAGGCAGAAACGAGGAAATGTCATCAGAACAATTGTCATTAAAATATTTCTAGAAAAGACAGAGGGAATCCATATCTTGCCAGTGAGAAAGTGACATTGTATCAAACGCGAAGTATACACACACCTCACTCTATATTTCGCTTTCTCTCTCTCTACATATATATGTATATAAAATGTATATATATATATATATATATATATATATATATATATATATATATATGTATATATATATGAGATATATATATATATATATGATAGATATATATATGATATATATGTATATATATATATATGCACAACACACACTTACACGCACACACACAAACACACACACACACACACACACACACACACACACATATATATATATATATATATATATATATATATATATATATATATTACAATAAAAGTTTGCTTCCGTTATCAGTAACACATTAAAAAAATATTTCGATTCGCATTATACTTTTTCGTTTCGGATGCTACCTGAATTTTACCAAAAACAAAATAATTTCCATGCCTGAAGATGACTGAATGTACACTTGAAAGTTCTTGCGTATTTAAGAAAGACCTTATACAGCTTATAATTTAAAAAATAAAACAAACAAGGATCATAACATTCATTGAATGATTGGTGTGTTAATGCTTCTTTAAAATTTGGTTGTGAACGGATTTCGCCATTTTATATCATTAACGTTACTAATTTACTTTTTGTATAAATGATTCATTGTAATATAAATTGAACATATATTTTATATATATATATATATATATATATATATATATATATATATATATATATATATATATATATATATATATAGTTTATGAAAAACTAGGTAATCTGTATGGGTAAACCTAAGGAGGATATATATATATATGTATATATATATTAATTTGTCCTGCATTTTCGTTTTATGAAAATTGTGTTTGCTCAATACAATTTTCATAAAACGAAAATGCAGGAGAAGTTAATATATATATATATATATATATATATATATATATATATATATAGAGAGAGAGAGAGAGAGAGAGAGAGAGAGTGAAGAAAGAAAGAAAAAGAGAAAGAACTGAAGTTTACATGACTACCGTTGTTTAAATGCCATATCAATTCAGGACGTAGGCGATCACGTCTATCCACTGATTCCTTTTCTTTATCATTTGTGAACTGCCATGACTTTCTGGGAAAAAGAGTAATGCCATGATGTCTTTTTCACGGTTTTAAATTCAGACTTTCCTCTCATACTGGCTGTCGGCCAGTCAACACATAGCTGTGAGAGAAGTGCTAGACTCGTACCTTTTCCCAAGGGCATTTGTCCGAAAGTGGATGCAACGGGAATTTGAACTTGCTGATTTAATTTCCTGTGCCGATAGCCGTCACGTTTTCTGTACATCCACTGTTCCCCTTAGCAATCTCAACTCTATCCCTTAAATAGAAAACAACAAGCAAAAAACAAACAAAACAGACAAACGACTTCAATTATTTACAACAGTTTATCTTTCTCTTTTTCGATATAAACTTTGAAGTTTTAATTGTAAAACTTTTATATGGAACCGAGCTGTATCTTCTCGCCAAATGTGGACATAACTGACCATTCAAAGAAGCCGGGGCATCAGTAATTAATGAACCCGGACACTGTATATATAGCGAATTAAGTAATAAATATAGTAGATATTAGTTTGTCGAAAGGGATGCAACCTTACCATTTCGGTTGAACGAGAGAAAGGTCGATTAGTAGGCTGGGCGGATAAATAAGCTTAATTGTTTATGAGAAGCAAATGAAAAGAGACAAAACACAATAGTTCAAAGGTAATTTTCCCATTCTTTTTCTATCTTGATTTGTTCAAATCTAAATCTATCAATCTGTCCATCTCTCTCTAATTTTCTTTGTCTTAATTCACATTTATCTTCGACCCGTGCAAAGGCCTAATGTCTCCATCTCCGTTCAGATCTTTCTATCTATCTATCTATCTATCTATCTATCTATCTATCTGATTTGTTGACATGATTCTAAGCTGTAGCGTATTACATTTCCCCCAGAGATGTCATTAATATGTGTTCAAGTCCAGCTAAAAGGCAAAATAATAAAAATAAAAATATTTGTCATTCTATCTATCTATCTATCTATCTATCTATCTATCTATCTATCTATCTATCTAGTTCACTTTTCATGGCTGTCTATGTAAGCTCGGATTTTGGATATTGGCTTTCAAGCTAGGCAGGGCTTCTTCACCAGAAACATCGATGTAACAGAATAAATATCTATCTGGTCGTTAGCTTGAATATTTTTGTATTACCTATCGTACCCGAATTTCGGAATGATTTCAAGGTAGGATTTCTTCTATCGGATGACCGGCAATCAGATTGCAGATTCACCCTCACGCCTTACACACTGCGATCATTCAATTTAAGTGCTTGTAAAATTTGTCGTACTTAATTAGTACGAATATCAGTTATCGGTAATGGCTTAATGTACTGAACAAATAGTCAACGAATAAAAGAACAGCGATCAAAATTGTACGTTTTATAGATTTCGTCCAATTTTTTTAATTCTTCTTTAAACTTGTAAAGTTTGAAGGAAAATCAGCACAAGAAAGGACACTTGTACTTAGTATCAGAAAAATTAAAAAGATAGAGGAAAGAAGGCCTGGTGAATATGAAACTCATAATACATATTTATGATAAAAAGGGTAGAGGGAAAAAGTGAGTAATCTACCTAACGCAGAAGATGGACTGGGAGGGATAGTAAGGTGACAAAGAATAGGTTTTGTACTCAATTTCACACCAGATCAAAGAAAAACAGGTGCAGGGTTGTCCCAAATTTACTCCCGACCGCTGAATGCCGAATCAAGTGATATTACAATTACATTCAGTTTTGTAAACGTGGTTAATAATCGTAATATATTCAAGTATATAAACAACCACTCGAGAGGGAAATTGGGTAGTCTCTCAGACATCGCAGACTATAACGTCAGGATCAGGTTTCTGAAGCGAACGAAGGGCCGCGTTTTCGCACACTGGCCGAGTGTAACTGATGATGTACTGGAGTGAAATAAAATACAATATTAAGTCAGGAAATATTCAAGTCTCGTGTTTTTCATTGTTTTACAGGTGTTATCAATAACGAGTACACACACTTCTTTACTGCAAAGGAAGTTGTGGAGAGCCACAATTTTCCACGTTCTGAAGTGACACAGCAAATAAAAAAGAATTGAATTTCTGACGAGTAAATTTCCCAAAGGATTAAGATTAAATTCTAGACTGCAGCCTAGGCTTACGACCATCTCACGTTGAAACACCGGTTCTTGCAGAATCACCGAAGTTAAGCAACGTCGACCCCGGTTGGTACCTAGATGGGTGAACAATTGGGAATATCAGGTGCTGTGAGCTTGAATGTGCGAGTGGTGCTATGGATAAGGGAAATCAGAGCCGAGTTCTAGTTCCAATCGGGTTCATTATATTCACTTACGCGCAAATACACCTGAGAAATGTGTGAATCCCCCCTCTTTCCCCTCCAGCTATGGATTAATTAGTAAGACTTGTATCAGTAAAATTATTATCATCTCCAGAAATTATTACAATATAAAATATTTTTTGTCTTTAAATAACCTGAAAAGGTTGATAAGCCGTAAAAAACGAATAGAAAAAGAATGCAGCCTACATTGCTTTAAAGTAGCATATTTTCTGAGTACTTTTATATTGATCCTACTTTTTTATTCTGACGTTCAGATCATTGCATGTTCAAAGACTGTTATATAAGCAGCATAGATCGGCCATAAAGAAGCAGCCCTAGGTGAGATTTCAGATTATATCTTGTATCCTTAGGATCGTGTCTGATAGCGACGACACTTTACTAATGTGACTATGGAGGCCTTTCAGCAACAAATATTTATACAGCATTATACATTAATTTTTCTTTATCCAATTTTCTCCACGCCACGCTGTTCGTTTTACACCTAGTAGTAGTAGACATAATAGTCGTAAGTTGTTCGAATTTCTTAGTTTTGAAAATGGAAGTCTAGTCGAAATTAATGATAAAAATATTTCAATTAAAAAATTCAAACTGCTTAAAATTAGGCTGTTTCTGTTTCTCAATTTCCCCTAATCTTTCTTTTATTTGATTTCACTCTCTCTCTTTTCCAGTTTCTTTCTTTCTTTTCATTGCATTGTTTTTACTCATTATCCCAGTCAATAGATAGATAGGTAGATAGATAGACACACACACACACACACACACACACACACACACACACACACACACACACACACACATATATATTTCCTGTTATATGTTGCTTGCATAAATGTCATAGATACTAAAAATCGACTTGAGCCTTGTGATAAAAAGCAACACAGATAACTATTTAAAAATTAATTCTCCTTCGTTTCATATCTTATAGTTTAAAACTCCAACTCCAATTAAGTTCGTACGTACATTGACATAAAATGCTCATTTAATCGATATATATAATAATTACCAATCTAAGGGAAATAACTCATAATTATATGATGAGAGTTAGTCCCCTTGATGCTAATCTCTCTCTATTTTTTCATCCTTTGATGAGAATGTATTTAAATTCAAACGTTTATTCATAATATTTAGTTTTCGGGAATTAGCCCGGTGCAAAATCACGAGACTGAAGCTGC